GAGCTCAAGCAGTACATCCAGCTGCTGGATAAAGTCAGGTCAGTTCCTCGCGCGAGAAACACACAGATTCTGCTGACGCAGGTCTCTCACGGTCATGTCAGGATCAGCTCTGATTTCCAGCCTGTAATTACATTTGTCTGGCTTTGCTCAGCTCTGTAATATTTCAGCAGGTAATTCCTCTATAGATCAGAGTTACCGGGAAATATCAGATCAGTGGTGGTTCACAAACTCAGAATAGCACAGAAACTCATTGTAGAAGATGATTCTTTGACATCCTTAAGGCAAGACACTTCAGCCAAAAAACGGAGAGATTTGGAGATATTTGACTTTTCATTACGTGTTGTGTTTGTTTTTGTTTGTTTGTTTTTTCTTTCAGAATAGTGGAAAGAAAACTGCTTCTAAAAGTCTGAAAAAAATAAATAAATAAATATACATATATATATATATATATATAATAATATTAAAAAGGAAAAAATTTAATTTAAAAAATTTGAAATGTATAAAATAATTACATAAAAAAATGTCATTATGCTCATATATACAATTTTTCTTCTTAATTTTAAAATGTTATTTCAGAAAAATACTTTTATATATTTTATATAAAATATATTTTCATGTAAAATATACATGTATAATAATTATAAAAACTTATACAATTTTATTGTTAAACTTTTTGCATTTTTATACAAGTAACAACATATGTACATATATTATTATTATGTTGCATATACACACACACACATATATTTCTATATAATTTTATCAGCTAGAAACAGCTCTGTTTGAGTATGATGTCTATAAAATAATTTCTTAAAATGCTCTTGCACGACTAATTATCGGCAGCACTTACTCTAAACTTTACAGTTTTATTCCGATCTATATTCTGAACGCTTGTTTACATCTCACTCGCATTATTTATAACATTATATTTCTAAAATCGTGGTGAAAATGTGTTTGTTTCTGTCTGTTGACAGTATTTTCTGATTCATGGAGTGATGAGTGGAGAAATCCAAAATCCTTTAATATGTCGACAAAATCAAACAAGAATTTTGATCCTCGCGTGATTCAATATTCAGATTTCTGTTCTGGAAATGTATGCAAATTAGTGCACATTCACTCAGATAATGCGCCATATGCATATTTAAACATAACATTTCAGAAAACTTACAAAAAATGTAATGTAATCAGTCAGCTGGGTAAGTATGGGGATATTGAATAGTTAATTTTTGACCCTTTTGCGCCTTTGTGGTCTTACCCAGTTACCACAAAAACTGCAAATGTGTTGGAAATCCATTGTTAAACGAGCAGCAGCATTTATTTCTGATGAGCACGTTTGTGTGGTAATAATGCACATGTGTGAAGACTCTCATCGTGTGTCTGTTCAGGATCCGTGACGCTCTGAAGTGCATCCTCAACATCTCTCGTCACGGGAATCAGTACATGCAGCTTAACGAGCCCTGGAAGAAGATCAAAGGAGGAGACGGTGACAGGCGAGTCATGTGACACGCCGTTAATAAGATCGGAATTCATGTACAGAGAAAGAAATAACATTATTTGAGAT